CTAGCCTATACAGGACTCGTACATACATGGACATTGCAACCTCCTTGCTGCCCGCTCGAATCGTCCCGGCGACGGGTCCCGGGATGCCCAGCTGGCTTCCCGTTTGGCGCGACCCAGCGGCCAGCCGCGGGGATGCACTCCTTCTTTCGAGCTGATGGTCCTAGACCTAGTGTGCGAAGCTCGATGCCTGCATGGCGGAAGCGGGTAGCGGGCCAATGGCCCTGTCTGCTTGACCACGAGGCACAATGCGGATGCCGACGACGACCCAATCTGCGACGCCAGCAAGATTGCGTGGCTGCCCCTACGGCCAACCTGTGGTGGAAGAAATTTCCATCACCCCCTATCCGTTCGCTTCGATTCGACGCTGGCATGCAGGCATTGTGCAGGTACTGCCACGGACGTGTACGGCACAGTACGTGTCCCTCGCCAATGCATTGGCCCGGCCTGGAGCTGGGCAGTTACCCACCGCCAGCAAATAGGAACCCGGATCGATAGAGCAAGAGAAGCCACTAATGCCGGACAAAAGCAGAGCAGCCAAACAAGACGTGGACAAAACGCCAGCTCCCCAATATATTCGGCACGGCCTGGAGAAGCCCCGCACCGGGCCCCCGTCGGCCATCGGCTGACCCCACAGGCACAGAGCCGGCCGGAGCTTTGCATTTCCATTACCCCCAGCTTTCCAAACCTGCCGTTTCCATTACCCCCAGTTTACCTGATGACCCCAGGATGGCGCTGGGTTGTGACGGGCTCGCAGGAGGCTAGATGCGTGCTAACTGGGCTGCTGACTTGTTTGCAAAGTGTCTGCATGTACCTCGCATAGGTACAGGTCGAACGTCTCCGTACCTGGCGATGGCGCAAACGCGGCGAACACGAGCCGCAAAGGAGCAAAGACTGGCAACTGGAGAATGGGCAACCCACGCCGGTGATGAATTTTGCAGTTCGGAGCTGAGTACGGGGTACTTTCAAGTACATTGGTACCTCTTACATGCAGCAGCAGTAATACCAAAAAGAGAGCCATCATCCACGGGTGATGAAACTATATTGATCGGACACAGTGTCCAGACCGTCTCGGTACGCAGGCCAAAAGCAAGCAGCTCATTGATCCGTTCATTTATGCATACATTTGCGAGGGCTGCTTCATCTACTCGTTTGCTCCTTTGCTACTTTGCCTCCAATGGTCCAATGGAGCAGCAGCCTTCCCCGGGAAAGGAGAAAACAAACTAGCAGCGTCTTGAGGATACGGGAGGGTGGCAGCAAGCGGCAAGTCCTGCATCCCGTACAATTGCCTGCCTGCCCTAGCAGTAGTATGGAGGAGTAGTCTCTCGGCTATGAAAATCTGGGGGAAGCACAGCGCCGTCTTGAAGGTAAATTGCTTGCCCTGCCAGAGACACTCTCTTGTCTTGGCGCAGAAGAAAAGCTGTGGCCACCTGTTAGTAAATCGTGGGTCCTTTGACTCTACTCACCCCGCTTCCTTTTTCTTCTCTCTTTTCTATTTTTTTTCTTTTTTTCTTTTTTTTTTCTTTTTTTGGCAGACCCCAAAAAAACCCGAACCCCTTAGCCCAGGGGGCAAACGCTGGTGGCTCTGCAAATGGACCCATCCGGGCGTCGGCACTGTACCATCACGAGGACGGCAAAAATAAGAAGAAAAAATTGATTCCAGCTCGGGTTTGTAGTTTTGCATTGCAGGTACCTTGTTTTGTGTACCCATACTAACGGTCAGGTAGTGAATCATTTCCCTCCTTTTTTGCCTTGTTTGGCTTGTTTCTTTTTCCAAGTCCCTTTTTACGAGTCACGATGGAGGCAGATGGCTCACCCCAGTTTCGCTGTTCCCGTCTTACGTACGAGTTGAGAAGCACATCAATGGCGCGCCTTCGCACGCCACCGCCGGCAATTTTTCCTTCTTTTGTCGCTTCGTCTTTTGTTCTTTTCTCTTTTCTCACGCACATTCGTTTCCGTTGCTTTTTAATTGGTCCACTTAGTCTTCCCCAGCTGTGTGTGTTCTTTGGCGGCTGCGAGACGAATACGTCGAGGGTGGCCGCATGGATATTCAACCTGCATAAAACACAAGTGAAAGTATCGTGAAACTGCCATTGGCGTTATTACGCATTTTCTGTCTTTTTCTCCGTGGCGGGTATTCTCAGAGATACTGTGCCCATATACATCACAACTCATTGTCCACCCGTTGTACTCTATACTTTGCTCCAGAACAAGAAAAGACCCGGGAAGGAAAAGAAGAAAAAAAGGGTCACCGTGTGGTAAAGCTGGGGTTTTCGGTTCGAGCTCCCGAGAAAGGGCTCGTCATGTGGTTTGGCTTTACTTGTCAGGCTGCACGGATTTCTCCGACCCCGGGTTTTCGGCGCCGCTGGCCGCAAATTCTAATTCCTCTCTCTGTGCTCCATAGCGGTCACGATGCTGCTAAACTAACATTGGAACGGTAAGGTAGTCGATAGTTACGTGGTAATCCGGCGTCTAGCGCTGAGAAAATGACTCTTTTGTCGTTCGGCGGCGATGTCTCCGAATTCCTGGGGAAAGCAAACATCATTTTCTTTTTGGCCCTCTACAGAAGGAGAAAAGCCGATGCGGCCGAATGTCATCTGCGGTTTTTCCCCAGAGTCATTATGAGTACTTGGATGTACATTACATTACATTAAGTACTGGTCGTACAGGGACGGCCCCAACATCCGAGACCATCGTGGCCTTTGTTTCCGGCCCCCGGCATGTTTGCCCCCTTTTTGAAACCTATGTGGTAATGAATTACATTATTCACTTGGGGTGGTTGGAGAAAGCCTTGCAGTAAAAAAAAAAACAAATAAAAGGAAAAAGTCAAAATGGGCGATCACAAGACCTTGTTTCTGATCGACCGGCCCCCCGAAAGAATGAGAATGCACGGGCGGTGTGAGCGATGGTGAGAAGGAATCTGCGGCGACCTGGGGATTTTCTTTTAGGTAAGGCAATTCCGGGGTAAATCGGGCACGGTCGTGTTGTGTGATTCGGTGGGGTTTTTTACGTACATCGTCGGATGCATGTTGTAAGTTTTTTTTTTTTCTTTTTCGGTGCTACCCCTTGTTGTTGTTAGTTGTTGTTTGGGTAACATTGGTGATTCGGATAAAATATCTTTTTTTGGCTTTTATGAATATACTTCTTCTTTTTTTAACGATACTTACTTGTAAGGGGATTACGAAAGTTGGTTTGAAAAAGTTAGACAGGGATGGAATGGAGAAAGGGAAAAGGTAATGCAGGTCTGATATGATTTGCTTTGCTGGAGGATCAGGTGCAAGTGGGAGGGCTGATTTGGGGTGTAAGATGAGGCAGCCCATGACTCTGTCTCTCTGTGTGTCTGTGCTTGCTCGCCTCCTTGGATTTTGGCCCGTTGATCCTAATAAGAAGAAGAGAGAGTTACTACTCTGTATGTGTTTGAGGCTGAGACTTGGTTTGGTCGAGATGTGGCATGGTGTTTGGTATGGCGATTGATGCCGCAGAAACTACCATCTCAGACGACTAACACGAACACGGAGTTTCGGCCAAGACGTGAGGAATGACGGGGAAAGTCTCAGCATGTCACTGCGGAATTTGTGATTACGTAGCATCATTCATGAATTACCATACCATTTCACTCAAAGAACGCGTGTGCCTTCTCATATGTATTATTGAGAACAAGGCATGTACAAAAGTGCAACCAGGTCTTGTTCTTTTCAGGGTAGGTCAGTCACCATCTGGATGACGGGCGCCAGTGACACTTTGGCAGTGTCTGCATTCGGCGCATTTTCCATCTATAGCGAGAAAAAAAAAACCTTGCACAAGCAGTGAGTGCATCATACCGGGGGCGGATGAGGTTAGCAGCGGGAGGCCAGATGATGAGATTTGCGCCCTAGAATTGTAAATTCCCACCGTCGTAGTGAATGCAGGGAGGGAAAGAAGAAATTAGTGACAATCACACGCTCGGTGTGCCATGAGGACCACCATGAAGGCAGAGCCGCGGATATGCGAGGAGGATTGGCAAAATTAAGCCTGGCAGCTTCATTGACGAAACGGGCTGGCGGCGTACAAAGTGGCACGCGCGGCATTTCTTTTTCTTTCTCTTTTTATAATGCTCCGTATACATACTGTCGATGAAAGGGCCCTTTTGCCTGGTGACGGGGTGCAATGACATCATGGCCGGGGTGTGTTTGTCGAAGAAAAATGTTTTCCCTATTTACAGTACAAGTTGTCTACTTTGACCGAAGATGATGTGATTGATGATTGGGAATAGCTTGTGGCCACTGTCGTACTGCAAGTTTTGGATTCGGGCCAGGCGTATTTTTAGCTCCTTCAGCTGGGCTCAGCAGCTGCGGTTTTGTGGTTTTGTGTGACGCTTTGGACGGCTGAACTGGCATTGATGCCCTTTTCCCCAGACGAGTTTGTTTGCACAGTTTATCAGATTTGCCCTGAGCACACGGGGCAATGCAAAGAACATGAGCTATCAAGCATCAATGGCCGAAACACAACACCAGCAGCTCACACGGATCGACATACGTCACAGCTGCTCATTATGGCAGAACAAACTAGAACAGGCAGATGCAGACCGCAGCACGTGACCCGTTGCCTGCGATTTCTTCGGCTAAACCACCAAAACCTCCAGCAAAGAGACCCATTATCGGCTTGCAGTAACTAAAGAGAGCCAAAAAAATTTGACTCCAACTGTTATCGAGGCCCGGCAATTGAGGCACTAATCGCAATCTTCTTCTTCGCAAAGCAGTGCTCCAGGACTCTGGCGGATTTCCCCCTGCAATCGACTCTCTTTGCGCCCCAGCATTGCAGCTTTTGAAAACAAGAAAGGAATAGCCGTAGCGCAATTCCGAGTTTGGAGAGCCCCGCAACCGGCAGCTTCTGGGATCGCCACTTGCAGCTTTTTTTCTTGTTGCCGATATTCAATATCATTTCATTCTGCGCAGCGTTCGGTTCCTGGACTCTGCGTACTTTTTGCATCGACATACACGCATATAGCCTGGTTATCAGTCAAGATGGTTACTCTTACCGAGGTTGAGGACGAACACTTCCAGCACGCTTCGGCTGCTGACTTGGAGGAGGACGACTTTACGGATACCGGTATGTCCTCCATGAAACCCCCATCTCGTCAATCGCGCCCTGGTTCTAACAAAGCTCTCTTTTCGCTGCAGAATCCGAAATCTCCAACGAGTCCGACTTCGACCCCTCAGAAGAAACCCTCGCCGAGCGGCTATACGCCCTCCGCGACATCATCCCCCCCACCGCGCGCGGCTGGGTGTCGAGCCGCGTCAACGCCGTCACCAGCGCTGCCTGGAGCGTCCTGTCCTTTGGCGGCAAGGGCGCCTGGGTCATCACCACCTCGGCGCTCTTCCTCGGCGTGCCGTTTGCGCTGTCGTTTGCCGAGGACCAGCAGCTGACCGCCATGGAGCAGGAGTATAACATGCGCCAGACGGGCGGCGAGCTGTTGACGGCGGGGGCGGAGCAGAGCACGGCGGACCAGGTTGGTGCTGCCCTGGGCCCGGAGACCAAGGCTGCCTTGTGAAGACATTGATGAAGGAAGAATGAAAAAAAAAAGGAACAAGAAGAAAAGACAGAAGAAAACAACGAAACTGACTTGGGGGGGCGCCGCGTGGTAGCAAAAGCAGGGTGCTTGGAACTGGGAAAACGATTTGGTTCTAATGTAATGACTGGCTTACAATGACAAGTGACGAGGGGGAAATGGTGATGTATTTGGTTGAGGACCTGAGCATGCGAGAGAGATCAAGCGTGGTCCCCCTCCATTCGTGTACAATAACCTTTATTTGACGAAAGAGAGAGAGAGAGAGAGAGAGGGCATACCATTGCCCTAGCCTGTTTTGACGAACTGCTGGCTGGCTGTATGTTATTGGGCGGACTCTACGAGGGGGGTTTATCTTTTTTGCAACCATGGGAGGAACAATAAAAGAGGGCCATCTGGGAGGGGAGTTTTTTGTTTGTACGAAGTAGGTTTGATGCCCCATCTCATCTCCGGACGTGGTGTAGTTTTCACCACTCTGCATTTTATTATATATATATATATATTTTGCCGTTGGGTAGAATCACGAGTTGGGGATGTCGTGTGAATATGTGATGAGAGATGACCATATTCTTTCATGTGATTTGTTTTTGCTCTTGATCGACGAGTTCCATTATTGTGAGTGTGATTTAAGGATCTGTAAGCTTCAAGTGTGGGTCAATGGAAACAAGCCATCACCGCTCACTCATCTTCCTCCTCATAACTCGTCACTCTCACAACCTCCCATCTCCATCCCTACATCTTCACACAACCCAAACAAGTAAAGCCATGGATTTCATAGCGTTGCCCAAAATCGAGGTCCAACCCCCCTATCCCCTCTCATCTCCAATCCCCCCAAAAGCAAGGAATCATCGCTCGCTCACACATCTCCAGCTTCACGCTCATCTCACAGGCAGCATCTCCCGCCAAACCCTCCACGAGATATGGCTCAAGAAGTCCGCCGCCAAAGAAACAGACCTGCAAGATCCTCTCCTCGTAATCCCAGAGGGCAAACACGATTACAATCTCGAAACGTAAACCACACATCCATCCTCTTCTCAAACTTCAACACAAATATCCTGATACATACATATATATATATATATACGTTCGACCAGCTTCTTCCCCCTCTTCAGCAAATACATCTACGCCCTCCTCACCGACGAAATCTCCCTCCGCCACGCCACCCTCTCCGTCCTCCAATCCTTCCTCCTCGACGGCGTAATCTACCTCGAACTCCGCACGACTCCCCGTCCAACCCCCCTCCTCTCCACCACTCAATACATTTCCATCCTCCTCGACACAATCTCCTCCTTTGAAACCTCCCATCCGTCTCTCCACACGCGCCTCATCCTCTCCATCGACAGACGCCACGACTTCGCCACCGCCTCCTCCATCCTCGACCTCGCGCTTTCTCTACCCAGCCGCATCGTGGGTCTCGATCTTTGTGGTGATCCGGCAGCTCGTCCGGGGGGTCAAGTCGCGCTTTTCACGCCGTTGTTTGAAAAGGCGCGGGAGGCGGGACTGGGGATCACGTTGCACTTCGCGGAGGCGGAGAGCAGTGCTTCGGAAGCGGAGTTGCAGACGTTGTTGGGTTGGCGACCGCATCGTTTGGGACATGTGATTTGCGAGGACCAAGATGCGAAGCGAGCGATTGCGCAAAGGAAGGACGAGCTGTGTCTGGAATTGTGTTTGAGCTGCAATGTGCAGGCGGGCATGGTGAAGAGTGGTTTCGAGGGCCATCATTTCGGCGAGTGGACGGCCGTCGAGGGTATCAAGGTGTCCCTGGGAGTACGTTTCGTTCCATCACCGCCCCCATCTTATCCTTTGAAGGCGACATCATGTATCATCAAAGGGGAAAAAGGCTGACGGATTTGCTCAGACCGACGACGTAGGCATCTTCGGCAGCCCCCTATCCAACGAATACCGCCTCGTCGCCCAACACTTCCGCCTTGACGACTCCCAAATCCGCGCCCTCGCCAGAGAACCCATCGACCACATCTTTGGAGGCGACCTCGAAAAGGAGAGGCTACGACAGCTCATGTGGCCTTGAACTTGTACGATTTCACACCTCAAGAAAACAACCCCATGCATTACCACAATCCTGGATAAACTTGGAACGTCTATTTTCTTGAAACTACCCCATACATCACAGTCATCTTGGATAGATTTACAACGTCTTTTTTTGCTCAGAACAACGTGCCATTCTCCCCCCTTTTTGATATTCCCATTCTTTCACACTCAAAAACTAGAAAACTGCGCTATATCAACTGTTTTACCAACGATACGCAAACTTCATAACGCTATGGCTATGCTATAGACAGGAAAACCAGGTACAAAGGACTAGAGGAGAGCAGAGTTTGTAGCTCCATCCACAGAATTCCCCATTTCATTTTCATTGCCGCCCACCAATTTTTTGGTATATGGATTTTTTTTTAAAACCACCCCCGTTTCCTCAAGAACAGCACTTCGTAGCCCATTCCTTTGTTTTCAATCTCCATAAATCCTGTAAACGCCAAAAGGTCAAAAAAAAAAAAAAACAAGGCATCATGAGTCCCAATCTAATTCGTTTCATCACGCGTTATATAAAAAGCCTCAATTTCATTTTTTTTTCAGTGCAAGTTCTGCGGCGGCGTATCGAGGTCCACGCCCTCAACCATGTTCTTCTGGACCTGGCTTTCGCCAACCAGCTTCCGGAAGAACTTGGAGGCTCGCTCGCTCTCGCCCTTGACCTTGACCGTCTCGTCGCGCTTCTTGTTGAGGTCCTTGACGCTGTGGTCGAGGCCTACGCGCAGGTTGTCGGCGGGCATGCGCAGGACGGTGCGGACCGATCCCGAGATTCGGGAGGCGTTGGTGTGGACGTAGTCAATCTCGGCGAGCTGTGCTTCAATCTTCCTGGCCAGCCGGTGGGGGAGAGAGTTGGGGATCTGCTGAAGTACATATGCCGATGCGGCAATGGCTAGAGGGGAATCAGTTAGCAAAACGCCTACAACTGTAGTAAGAGGGGGATCGGGGGTTACATACCGGCAACGACAATGCCAGGCAGGATGAGCTTGCGAAGGTTATCATTACCAAGGATGCGCGTTGCGGTAATGGCGTGGTCCACCCAGGAATTCATTCCCAGCATGCGAGGCACGACAGCGCCGGCAATGGTCAAGGCCATACCCGTGCCGGCAAACTTCTCCTGGCTATGCATCAAGGTCGAAAAGTCCACAAAGTCGGCAAACTCAGTGGGCACGTCCACCTGGCGGGCAAGGGCATCCTTCTTCCGGCGGAACATGACGTCTGGCCGGAAGTGAAGATTCTGGAACTCGTCGCCCACGTGGAGCAAGCCCAGCTGCTTGATGGCGTTGACGCCCTTGACCGTCGAGGCTCGGGCGTAGTCCTCGCAGCTGTTGACGGCATCGGCAATGTGGGAGAGGATGGCGTCCTTGAGGTCGTCGGCGTATCCGTAGGCGCCAAAGAGGCCGGGATATGGGATGTCGTATTTGGTGTTTCCGGCGTAGGTGATGGCGGCGTTGAGCTGCCCTCGGGTGTGATCGTAAATGTCCTTGCACGTCTCCTCAATGTTGTGGACGACCTGTTCGTCGACTTCGGATCGCGCCTTTTTGCTGGCTAGGATCTGGGGCTCAAGCTCCTTGAGCTCCCGGGTGACTCGGTCGAACTCGGACTGAGCCACCTCGTGGTTGACCGTGGCCAACGTCCCAACATCGTTGAGGATGTTGAGCAGATACGTCCTCGCGGGAGCAAGCTTCGATCTAGCTCGCTTTTCCAAAACGAACCTGCGGAGAGACTGTTCGAGCTTCTCAAAGTCTCGAACCTTGTCCGAATCCTTGCCCTTGTCATCGCCGGGATCATCGCCACCGCCTCCGCCGCTGCCACTGCCGCCTCCGCCGCTCGGTCCGCCGGGGGGCGAGGGCGCCATTGGGATGACATTGCTAGAAACGAAGTGAACGAGCTCTGAGGCTTCCTTGTGTGTACGTGGGCTCAGCCCTGCGACTTGATCCAGGATCATCTTCTGGCATCGCTCCTTGTCTCGAATGAAGTCGTAGCCGTTGACGACAATGAAAATGTAGGCCTTCTCCGCAGCGGCAGCCCAGATGAATTCCTTGGCGGACTGCGTAAAGTGGTTTGCCGCGGAGACGACAAACACGACAACGTCAATCTCCTCCTGCCGAGCAAAGATGGCCGTCGTCTTGGTCGTGTCAGAGTTTAGACCTGGAGCGTCGATGAGGGCAATGTCAACGACACCGTTGTTGAGTAGGGATTCATCAATTGTTCTGACGTCCTTGACGTAGACCTTGCACTGGACGTATTTTTCATTGTCAATCACAATGTTTTCCAGCTCCTGAAGAGAGTATGCGTCATAGGTCGACTCGTCGTTTCGGTTGTAAATCATCTCCTTGTGGACTGCGTGGACCTCTTCGATTCCTGCGTTTTCTCGAGCGTCCAGCACCTCGCAAAAGATGGCAGTGCAAGGCTGCTGGTCTTCGGGCAACACTTTGCGTCGCAAAAGGGCATTGCAAAACGTCGACTTGCCTGCGTTTAGATCGCCTGTGATGAGTACTTTGCTTGACTTGTCCTCGATACGTTCGCGGAGAGACACGAGATGCTTGATGCTGGAGCTGATTTTTCCATCCAGAAGCGACGCAATGGAGCCCTTCTCCAGCGAGTGTACCAGCTCGGCCTGGTGCAGAGCTCCTAGCTTGAGATCCAATTTCAGCACCGAAAACTCTTGCGCAATCTGTGGCGAAACGAGCCGCGGCTCTGCTGCAGGACGAGTCTCGGCCGCCTGGCTGGACTCGGCCGATGCATCCTCGAGACTGGTCACGGCTCTCCTAAGCATGGGCGGCGGTGCCTGGGCGGACCTGGCCGTGATGTCCTCCATGGTCGACGAGTGCAGGATGCCGGGACGAGGCACGTCAGACTCCATCTTCTCGGCTCGCTGAACCGACGGGTAGTGCGCAGGCCACACGGCGTTCATCTCGCGAAGGCCATGCAGCAGATCCAGCACCTTGTTAATTGATCGGCCCAGCGTGGCTCTCTGGGAGTTGTACCACAGCTGGTGGATAGCTCCGGACTGTCGCTGGTGGCCATGGGGCTGCACGTCCCACATGCCCGGCTCGTCGCCCATGATGCTGCCGCCGTATCCCGAATCAATGTCCAGCATGCTCTGGAGACGAGCGGCGTGCTCGGACGCGGTGCCGTTGCCGACCGTCATGTAGTTGGGCCGCGCTCCGGCTGGGCCAGCGGAATCGAGGTCGGCATCGTCCGAGTCCCGGCTGGCGGGCGCCTTGCCCTTGTCGTTGTAGTATTCTTGGCTCATGCTGGTCAAGGACTGCTTGTACACAGCATTGTCGAGCTGAAGGGTGAACTAAAGGGTAGAGATGCAGAGATGCAGGAAATGCGGATGATGTGAAAAGGTCGAAAGATCGGGTAGGAGCACGAGGGTCGGGCTTTGGATGGGGTTCGTCAAGTAAAAAGGTTGCATGATGTTTAAGCAAATTCGCGCCCCCCGGTGACGAAGCTGCCCTGATTGGCCTAGTGCCTCGGCACAAGCTCGGGAGGCACGCGCTATCTTATCGCGGGCCCCAAAAGCCGGGCGTTGACGGCGCAAGTATCTTCACGCCCGCGAACTGCCGTGGGGGTACATGGCGGTGCTTCCTGGCCGAACTGACGTCCCAGTCCCGACTAGCAACGCAAACATGCCAGACGACGTCGCTCCTCGGGCACTCCGCTAGGCAGATACACCATCACCCAGTTCTTGTCCGCTTCATCGTTCAATTTCTGTTTCGTTCAATCCGTCGCCCGAGTTATTCTCCCCATCCGAAAAGCAGGACTCTGCGACAGTCGCTTCTCCGCAAGACGCAGCCGTCGTCATCATGAATGTGAGGGCAATGCCTATGCCTATCTGTAGCGGCACCTAACCTCGACCTCCAATGCAGATCCTCGAATGGGCCTTTGGCAAGCGCATGACGCCGGCCGAGCGTCTACGCAAGAACCAGCGCATGCTCGACAAGGCGATTCGCGAACTCGACCAGACCCGCGTCAAGCTGGAGAAACAGGAGAAGACGCTGATACAGCAGATCAAGACGAGCGCCAAGAATGGGCAGATGGGGGCGTGCAAGATCCAAGCCAAGGACCTGGTGCGCACACGGCGGTACATTGAGAAGTTTTACGGCATGCGCAGCCAGCTGCAAAAGATCTCCCTGCGGCTTCAGGTATGACGTTGCTCGGGGCTGACAACAAACCGCGATATGCGCATACTGACGGGCGAGCCAGACCTATCGAACAAACGAGCAGATGATGCAGGCCATGAAGGGTGCCACGATGGCATTGGGCAGCATGAACAGGTCCATGAACCTCCCCCAGCTCCAACGCATTGCCATGGAGTTCGAACGCGAAAACGACATTATGGAACAGAGGCAAGAGATGATGGATGACGCTGTCGATGACGCCATGGATGTTGGAATCGAAGAAGAAGGCGACGAGGTTGTTGAACAAGTCTTGGAAGAGATTGGCATCGACCTGAACCAGGCTGTAAGGTTATATTCCTATCCCGCACCAGGCCCAATGCGCAACATGACTGACCGATGGAACAATAGCTCGGGGAGACTCCAACCGCCTTGGGCAACTCTGCCGTGTCCGAGGGCAAGATTGCGCAAGCCGTTGGGGCCGGAGGCGGTAGCGGCGACCCGGTCGATGATGACCTTCAGGCCCGACTCGACAGCCTTCGAAAGTAGCCGGCTGCTGCTACTACTTTATGACGAATCCGCGAACGAAATAATGAATGAGAAGCATTGGAATAGCTTCCCGGCGGAACCTGCCAGATCCCGTTGAGCACAGGGAGAAATGAGGGCGAATGTCTCTTTGATGAGGGATCCAGATGATTCAAACGACGATGATACCACACGGGATCATCCAGCGGAGCATGTTATTATATATATGTGAAGGGGGCTTAGATGGGAGTGAGCCGTGTCACGTTTTCTCTTTGGGCGCAAGAGGTGTTGATGGCCATTATGATTTGAAGCATACACTTGCAGATATATTTAC